CATTTGATTACACGCAGTGATAAGCCCGGAAAGCACGACTTCAATCTTCTCAAGAAACTAGTACTTCCTGATGGTTCCATATTGAGAGCCAAATTCCCGGGAAGGCCAACACGCGATTGCTTGTTCTCTGACCCTGCCAGAGATGGAGAAAGGTATATCTAGTGAATTTTACGATCTTCACGTTCTATGATTGTTCTTTTTCAATTCATAAAGTTTCTTTAATTGAATAACATTGATAATCTTGTTACAGTTTGTTAAAAATTTGGAATCTAAATGATTTCACCGGAGTTGTGGGAGTCTTCAACTGCCAAGGAGCAGGTTGGTGTCAGGTTGAAAAGACAAATCGCATCCATGACGAACAACCTGGCACAATAACTGGAATTATCCGAGCTAAAGATGTTGATTACTTATCAAGAACTTCTGACGATAGATGGCAAGGAGATGCCATTCTTTATTCTCATCTTCAAGGTACTCGTGACCGTCCAAAACTTGAACTGCAAAACACTGTTAAAGACTGGACTCATTTTTAACGTCTGTTTGTTGTTACTTCAGGAGACTTGGTTTATCTACCAAAGAACACTTCTCTGCCAATCACACTGAAGGCACGAGAGTATGAGGTTTTCACAGTTGTTCCTGTCAAGGGGATGTCGAACGGAATTTCATTTGCTCCAATAGGTCTCATCAAAATGTTCAACTCGGGAGGAGCGATTAAAGAACTAGATTATGAATCAGAACAGATGGGAACTGTCTGCATGAAAGTTCGAGGGTGTGGTCTATTTGGAGCCTATTCTTCAGTTAAACCTAAAGGAATTACAATTGATAGTGAGGAAGTGGAGTTCGAATATGAAGAAGCATCTGGATTCATCAAATTTTCATTGAGAATTCCAGAGCAAGAGTTGTACCTTTGGAGAGTAATGATTGAAATGTGAAGGATTTGTAGTCACCAGAAATGTTTCAAGTTAGTCTGGGAGAAATTTAAATAAAAAAGTTGCTATTTTTTTTGTCTCGTAAAAGCTGTCAAACTTGAGCAAAGCTGTCGATAATTATTGTATTTCTCCATGTACAAAAATCTATATCGCGCATTTTAGTGAGCAGTCTCTGGTGTATGTATCAGGGCTTTGTACACGCAAGCAAGACAATGAAGAGAATCCTTACAAGTTCTCAGTGTAGTAGACGTCAAGGTTTGACAGTGTTTTGCATAGACCTGAATGTACTCTTTGCTCTGTAACCCTTGTTATTCAGAAAAATAAAGCTGAAATAATAAAAACCTTGGCACGGGTTATTAGACTCCTTTTTAGGCTCTTCCGATGGTGACGATTCCATTTCGTTCATGGCACCATTAGTCATGCATTTCAGCTTGAGCCGAGCTGGGGTACCAGGCTTTGGTTCACAGGCCGGTACCTGGCTCTCTCACATTGGAGGAAGGGGTACATTTTTGGGGGGTTTTCTTTATTGAGGTGGGACCCACCTCATTGTGAGGGGGAGGCTTTACCAGGCCTGGTAAAGAAGAGAAATCCTTTCAGCTTTGTCTGCTATCCATCCCACCCCACCAATTAAGGGCCTGCTTGGGAGTTTCGGAGTAGCGATTATAAGCGTTTTGTAAAGTATCGATTTTGAGCATTTATGAACGGATCGATTTTGAGTGATTTTGGTAGTGGTTTTTAAAAACAGTCAAACTCATATTTGGAAGTTTATTATTCACCCGTTTTGAAATTTTTTTTAAAAGAATAAAATTATATATATGTCTCTTATAGCANGTAACAATTTGAAATGTTGGGGACCATGACTACAATTATTCGTTATATTTCTCAAATTTATTATATATATGTCTCTTATAGCAAAATTTTCAGTTTATAATTTCTTGTATGAATTTTTTTTATTCATAAGTCGTATTTTACTTATAGGTAATTTTTTACATATAAGTTAATATTTATTTTTACTTAAAATTTTAAATTAGTCCTTTTTACTTAGAAGTAAATTTTATAATTATAAGTTAATTATGTACTTTTAAATAATTTTACACATAAGTATTTTTTTACTTACAATAACTGTATTTTTTCTTTATAAACAATTTTTTAGACTAAATTAATTTTCATCTTTTAAGTAATGTTTTCCTCGTAAGTAATTTTTAAATTATAATATAACTTTTTTGTTAAGAAATAATTTTTCAGTTAATATATTTTTATTTGTAAGTTAATTTTGAACAAAGATATATATGGTGGAAATAATTATTTCATAAAGGGTATAATCAGAAGAGTATAATAAACAGCCAAAAATCACAAATTTGCTGGGTTGAGAGAACTGTTCAAGATTATATTACAACATTTTTGAGCGGTTTTTAAATCATCCAAAACCAATGCCCAAAAAATCTAGTAAGGACATGTTCTTCCAACCCCTCATAAACGACGCCAATCAAAATCAGTGAAAAAAAACTCCCAAGCAGGCCCTAAGAGAAATGCTGCATTACTTGTCTGAGAGAGATCCACTGGTATATCGCTTGAAAATGAAAATCTCAATTTGTACCCCTTTCTGAACTAGTTTTAGTCAAGCAAGCTAAAGGGCATCCCTTACAGTTTCATCATTTCATATGGATAAATTGCTCCACGGTTTCATTTTACTTCTATTTTTGTTCAGAATGCTTTTGGAAAATTCACACAAACACCGCACATATATTTGTGCATGTAAGAGTGTTAGATAAGTCTTTCAGTACTAGATACCGAATTTACACACTGGATACTGAATTTATAGTTTTAATACCGTATTTACAACATACCGAATTGGAGCATAGATACCGGATTTACACACTTGATACCGGATTTATAGTTTTGATACCGTATTTACAACATACTGGATTGGAGCATACCGTATATACAGTGAATTTAAATACTAGATTTTTACATACCGTTTTTGTATATAACTTTGAATATAACAGATTCAATTATATATACCAAATGATTTGTTAATTATAGTAAGACGTAACAAG